TCACTGGGCTCATCCTCCTGGGACTCACCTTGCCGCAGTCCATGCACCCTAGCCCCTGAAATGGACCAGGAGATGTCAAAATATATGCGTACACACATGTGAAGACCCTCGTGGTACAGGAATGGGGGCCTTTTGATTTCCCTCGAAATCCGCATGGAGGGTCCTAACCCCAGAGCCTAGGACACAGCTGTATTTGGAGACAGAAGCACAAAGAAATTAAATAAATTCAATGAGGCCAACAGGCTGTGTCAGGTGCCCTCCTAAGGAGAAGGGGACACAGACACACCCAGAGGGATGCCAGGGAGGACACAGGCAGGAGATGCTGCCTGCGAAAGCCCAAAGCCAGGGTCCAGCCCCGACCACGGGCCGGGCTTCATTCTCACCCCAGGCTCCAGGCTACAGACCTAGGAGAACAACGCCAGATGCCAGCACCCTTGCTGGCACCGGCTGCATAGCCCAAGCAGATGCAGGGGCCATCGCACATGCTGTGTCCAGCACTCCCCGGCCTGTGGCAGCCCGCTGGATCAGGGAGCTCTTGGGGTCTTCCCACACCTTCTCCCGCCAGGACAGCCCCACCCCCACCCTCTCGAGTACCCTGCACCAACAAGGGGGCAGCCCCACCCAGCCCCCCAGGACCTCATGGCCAAAGGGGAGGCTTCCCACACCCTGGAGCTGGGCGCACCATACCAAGGACGAGGGCAGAGGTGACATGGGAGGACCCATGCTCACGTATCTCCCACACTGCCTTCCGCCAACTCCCAACCCGACCCTTGTCCCTGAGCTGAGATGTCCCAGGGCTTAGGAGAGTTCGGGGCGACCTGGCCAGAGCTGCCTGCCTCAGAGACACCCAGGGTATATAGGCTCAGGCTGGCTCCAAAGGAAAAACAGGGAGCATCAGAGCACCGTCATACTGCAGGGTCTGGTGACCTCAAAGGCTGCGCCCCTCCAGGATGACCCAGCCCAGCCGGCACCAGGCCTCGCCTCTGCCGTGAAGATGGGGTGCAAAGACAGGGAGCTGAAGGCCTAGGCACACAGCCCCTCAGCGGACACCTGAGGACATCTCTGCTCCATCACCCACTGATCACGAAACCATGTGACAAGGGAGACCCGGGACTGCCAGTTCAGAGAAGTCACAGCCAACAGCAACAGGCCGGGACGGCTGGAGAAGAGACAGTAGGCTCACCACAGAGACCCTGGGGCCTCTGGCATCACGTGGGAGACCAACATCTGCTCTTGGGTGCTGCGGGTCAAACCCGTGTCTGCCAGGCGGCAGCGCCACACAGGCCCTTCCAGCCCAGCTCCCACCCAGAGCCGAGCCTCGCAGACTCCAGCCCTCGGCTCAAATCCACTGGCTCTGCATTCAGCCAGGCCAGGCTGCACAGGGTCACACAGGCCGGAGAGCTGTCTCCTCAGTCTGTTTCTCCCGGGACTCGGAGCTGAATCGCTGTCCTTGGTGACAGCCGCTCCCGTCCAGCAGGGCTCCCCGCCCAGGGTTCCGGGCCCTGAGAGAGCAGCCACGCCACTCACTCTCCCAAGTCTCGATCCCAGCCCCACGGGGCCTGCTCCTTGGGTGGCACGGCTCCTCGTATCACTTCACGGCGCTCCCCACACACACACCCTGCACTGACCAGCTTCCCCACACTTCCCGGTTTCCATGCTGCCCTTGCCTGTGCTTTCTGTCCCACTGGACCCTGGGGATTCACCTGTGCTGTCCCCAGTAACGCACTCAGGCCACTGCTGCCACCGACGGGAATGCTGAGCAGCACGGAAGGCAGCCTGTGGCGCCCTGCGGACCTTGCACCTCCGCGTTCTCTCCTCACCCCTCGGCTTCTCTGAGGAGCCAGCACAGGCCAGCACCCGGATGGGGCGCTGGCTGCTGAGGGACATCAGATGGCCTCGATGGCCACCCCAGGGCCCTAGGAGCTCCGCAGCCCCAGGAGATTGCAGGGCCCCACCATGCTGATCATGGGAAGCCACTTAGCAAAACGAGCCAGGACACTCAAGTCTGCAGTGGGGGCCCAAAACAACAGGCGCCCCTTCTGCCGGCATGCGGCCAGGTACGGTCACGATGCCTCCCTCCACAGCAGGCCCTCTGCAGTCTGGGCACCAGCACCTCCGCGCCACCTGGAGCGGGCAAGTCTCTCAACAGCCACACCTGCTCAGTAAAGTGGAAACACAGCCAGCAGGTGGCCTGGGGACCCAGCAAGGTCCCAAAAGCGGCAAGCACTGTGCCAAGCGTCCCACCGGCAGACACACCTGCAGATGCACCTCCCGTCCGTGCTGGCACCAGTCACACTGCCAGCCCTCATCTCCAGCGTGTCTGTGTTCAGCTGAGACGCCCTGAGAAGCCCAAGGCCCGCTGCCCCGTCAGCCCGCGCCTTGCCCAGCCTCTGCAGTCACTCACCTCCCAAGCACTGCCCAACTCACTCGGAAGACAGAACGATGGCAGGGTGGGCCCTGAGGAGTAACCCAAAGCCGTGTCCTGCTGCAGGGCTGCACGGGAAGCTCCCACCACAGCGAAGAGCCAGCCCTCGCCCTACACGTCGACCACCCACACAGCAGCAGCAACAGACCCACGCCTGAGCACGCTCAAAGTGAGGACAGGCCTCCCGACCCCAGGCAGTAGCGTAGCCTGCTTCCAGGCTGGACCCACGCCTTCCCCAGCAGACAAGGACAGTCTGGCAGGGTCTCCTGGCCACTTCACAGGGGCTGGTGGAGGCTACGGGGCACCTCCCTGTGCATCCTGCCTGGGCTCAGGGTCACCAGAGACCAGGAAAGATGGGGCAGGTGGCACACAAGTGCAATCTCCCCTAGAGCAACCCATTAAACTGTTTTACTTGGGTTTTAGAAAAAGAAAAGCAACTAGGCTGAAAATCCACAGGGTCACACTCTCCACTCAGCTAGACCAACGTTACCGTGGTCACTCTGGGAGGAGACACGGCAGTGCATCCTTGCCTCCTCTGGTGTGTTCATAATACAAAAGAACTGCCGAGAACTGGAGGGACCTTGGAGATAGTGCTCACCAAGGTGGCCGCCTGGCCCTTGTACCCCTACCTGGCCGTAACCAGTCAACAGTCTCTGGAGTTCTCAGAGTATGTTTTTAGCTAGTGAGAACCACACTGTGTACAAACGGAGAAGAAGGTATTTCTTGCACAAGTCCTCCGAGAGCAGCTCCTGGAGACACATGGAACCAAGCACAGCCCACCTTGCACCGCGCCAGCACAGCCCGGCCAGGACCCACAACTGGCGCCTCCTTTGGCTAACTGGAGACCTGAATGCTGGTGCGGGGATGGGTGCGTCCCTGGGGTTTACGCGGCTTCCTCTCCCGTGGACACACTTAGCTTCTGCCGGAGGTGAGGGCCCACATGACCGCACTGCCACATGGTATGGTCCCAGTACAGTGTAGGTGGCAAGGACAGCCAGGGCAGCCCTCGGCCTCACGGGTTAACATGCAGCCTGTCACAGGACACACCAAAGACCGAGGCCACTAAACAGAAAGAAAACAGCACATGTGGGAGGGAGGAGATTGTGTAGCTACTTAAGCTTGAAAATCTAAAGATAAACACAAGAAAAGGGTCAAAAGCTAGAATAAGGGGGGAGTTAAGAACTTTATTTTTAAAGAAGATAAGTTAGTTCATAGCTCCTCTCTAACCCCCGGTTTGGACTTGGAAAACTTCAAAATGTAAATAAGGCTTTTTTTGAGCCAGCTAAATAATTTTTGTAGACTCTAACTCAAAGTTACCTGTTTGAAACAAAGCCCCAGGCTCTGCTGATCTATACATGGCTGAAACAAAAAAACACACCGGCCATTCTGGAACCTGGAAGCCCCTGGGGGCCAGCATCCACCAAGAGCTTTCTTCTCATCTCCCATAAGCCTAGCCCTGCCCTGCCCGGGCCACAAGCGCTGTCTCCCCGTCCTTTGCTTGGGTCACTGGGGGCTCCTGTCCCCCGTGGCTCCCCCCATGCTCCCGCATAAACTAGCACTCTCCTAACTCCCTCCCTCTGCTCACAATTTTATTCCTCAATTCCGTAAGACAAAGAGCCCAGGTTTATATAGAATTAACTACTCCAATACCAGACAATCAGGAGCTAAGAGCAGACCAGTCTTCAGGGTCCAACCCAGAGACCACAGGTTATGATCAGCGGAGAAAGATACTGGAGAGCCAGAGCCAAGAACAAGACCCTCAAGACCAAGCCCAGAGGCAACCCAGCTGGGAACTTTCCCAAAGGAGAGGACGCAGCGGACAGGGGCACGTGTAGCGCAGTCACTGAAGCAACCTACATTGAGTGGCCCTCACATCACAGGCACAGCAATCCCTGGGGGACACCAAGACTAGCGACAGGTAGAGGCAGGTGGGGTAAGAAAAAGCCCGGAGCAGGTGCACCTCACTCGCCTCTTCTGCAGCGAGGTCAGCAAGGGTCCCCGCCTGCCCTGTCCATGCCGTAGGAGCTGCACCCCTTGTGCTCTCTCTGGGTCTTCTGGGGTTCCTGTCCCCATGGTTCCCCTCACGTTCAAGCATAAAAGGATGAGCTGTGCCCGGAGCTCCTGTCTGATTCTTCCAGCAGAAACACCAGACCCCTGAGTCAAGAGGCGCAGTGGCCCTGGGGGAGGTGGTGCAGGGATCTGCACGGTGGCCTCCTCTGCTTCCCCAAAGTGGAGGCGAGCTGGCTCTCTCCCGGAACTGCAGGAACCTTCCACCTCAGATGCAGAGGTGCAGACTGTGCTGGAGTAACAGCTCCCAGGGCTGCAGAAGCGGAGCTCTCCAGCCAAGGCAGCCAGGAGGACAGAGGCAGGGACCTGAGCCATCCAGCCATCCACCCAGGACAGCAGAACTATCAGGGTCAGAGTCAGCTCTGGGGGACAGGTGGGGCCCAGGGCTCGAGGCTGCGCAGGGCAGAGCAGACAGCCTTCCACCTGGCCGAGTGAGCCCGTTTTCATCAGCAACCAGCCACAGTGTACCACCCAGCAAACAGGTCCTGAGCCGGTCCCAGAGGCTTACCTTTTTGTCCTCTTTGGTCTTCCTGACATTTCGAGGGGGTCCGAAGAGGTTCTGCATCCCAAAAGCCTTCCTGGCCCAGTCCCGTTTCTGGGTGCTCAGTGGGGCCTGCGCGAAGCTCCCCTCCACCCGGTAGCGGTCTGCAGGAATCTTGCTCATGGGGGGTGGCAGCGTGCCACAGTTGACGCTGGACCAGCCATCCGTGGAGTCTGTGTAGGACTCCTGGTCGCTGGCGTGGCCGCACTGCCACTCCTGGAGCACGTGCACAGGCAGCCACCTCTGGCTGAGACCACAGCCAGCACCGGCACCCCTCTTAGAAGGAGGGACAGAACTCCGCAGCGAGGCCAGAGCGCCCTCCGCATGCGAGGCCGGCCCCAGGTGCTTGCTCGGGTCCCGGAGCCTGTCTGCCTGTGGGCCAGCCTCGCACACGGCGCCCCCCTCGGGGCTGTGGCAGAAGGGCCTGCTCCAGGACGTGGCCCAAGCCTGCGAGCTTCTGGCACCTGCACCCTCCCAGCCGGCACTGCTGCCCAGGCCAGGCCTGCTCAAGCCCCCGCCCAGGTCGACCACAAGCACCCGGCTGCTCTTCTCCTCCTGGCTGAAGTTCCCGATGCCGCTGTCGCTGGTGCTGCTGGTGCTATTGTTCTGGTGGGCATCACCGTCACCATCCAGGAAGGCGCGGGCCCGCACACCCTCGATGAGCTCGCCCATGTCCCGGTAGAGCACGGAGATGAACTGTAGCACCGGGAGGGAGGACGCCGGGAACTCCAAGCAGCCACTGGTGTCGGGGTCGGCTGTGCACACAAACCCGAAGCGCCGCGCAATGCCCTGGTGGATCTTGTGGTGGAACAGGTCGGGATCTACCATGAACACATGGCAGGACGTCCGCAGGGCACCCTCCTCGCCCTGCGCCAGACTCCCGTCATCATTCGTCTGCATGGTCACCAACCCAAAGAACCGCCTGTCATCCGGGCACACAGCGCTGAACGCCAGCTTCTCGGCTGGGTACTCGGCCACCACGCAGGCCTTGTCAGAGCACAGCAGCACGCGGTCATGCATGACCTTCATGGTGACCAGTGAGTGGATCTTCTGCTCGGCCCGCAGGCGCCGCATGCAGCCTCGGATGGCCTGCAGGCTATCGGACTCCAGGTTGGAGCTGGTAGAGGGCAGCTCGATGGAGCCCAGGTAGCCCACAACCATGGCCACGTTCAGGATGCTCGCATCCAGCACGAAGCTGTCCGGGTTCTCCGGGCCAGCGCTGAAGACAGAGTCATCGTGGACTGCTTGTGCCACCTCCTTGGAGAGCAGGCCAGGATGCACCGTGCTGGGACTGTCTTCCAGCCGCACGGCAGCCGACTCCGAAAGGGACCTTTGCTTCCCTTTCAAAGGCTCTGCGCCGCTCATGCAAAGATTCGGGTTTTCAAAAATCATGCTGAAAATGCCCCCCGACTGCATCTCCTCCACGACCCTCTCTGCTCTGTTTATCCCCAGGGCCTTGGAGTCGAGCTTGGGCCGCAGCCAGCCCTTCCCCTCGCACAGCCCGCCCTCGTCGTCGCTGGAGCAGGCCTCGGGGTGGCCGGCGCCCTCGCCAATGGCCAGGCGCAGCACCCCAGAGCATTTCCCAATGAGCTTCACCACGTCCTCGTGCGAGGCCTTCTTCACGTTGATCTCATTGATGGCAAAGATCTGGTCCCCAGCACGGAGGCCTACGAAGTCCGCAGGGCTGCCCCGCACGACTCCACTGAGCACACAGGGTGCCTGCCCCGAGAGCGTGAAGCCGTAGCCTGCGCGGCCCCGGGCCACCTCCACACTCCGCACTCGAGGGGGCGCGGGCCCCGGGGGTGGCCTCTTCGCTGGCTCCCCTGCCCTGTACATCGTGGGGAGCAGGCAGCCCCAGGAACATGTCCAGTCACTCCAGGGGACCCAGGCCTCCAGGAACACTTGATGCTGCCATGTACTCTGCGCAGTGGCATCCTACAGAGGAAAGACAAACAGCTCATCACTCACAATCCGGATCCCTGCTACACCGGTGCTGCCTGACAAACAGATGATCCATAGCCAGGCGAGGCGGTGCACACTTGTGATTCTAGCTATTAGAGAGGCTGAGGCAAGAGGACTGCAAGTTCCAGGCCACCCTGGACAACGTAAAGGGGCCCTGTCTCAAAATGAGAATTTTAAAAATGACTGAGGACATAGCTCAGTGGTAGAGCACTTGCCTCCCATGTGTAAGGCCCTGGGATCAATCCCCAGTGACACACACACACACACACACACACATACACACACACATTCACACACGCTAACTCATAATAAAAAACAACACAGGCTGAGCATGGTGACACAGAACTCTGGGAGGCTGAGGCAAGAGGATGGCAAGTTTGTGTACAGTCTGGACAACCCAGTGACTTAGCAATACCGTTTCAAAATAAAAAATTAAAAGGGGCTGGGATGTAGCTCAGTGTGAAGGCATTGGGCTCAATCCTCAGCACTGCAAACATAAATAAATAAATAAATCAAGAAGAGAAAAAAAGAGAGGAAGGAAGAGAGAAAGGCCCCAGAGCAAGAGTATCCAGTGACCCATAAGTCATAAGGCGGAGGAGGGGCAGGTGTGTGCTGGAACCTGAAGGCTGGGCTAAGCACCCTCTATCAAGGGGGTGGCCTCACAGAGCTAAGCGGCTCCCTTGGGCTGTACCTGCAGGGCTCAGACAGGGTGTCCCCAGTTCCGGCAGCTCAGGTGGAAAACAGGTCACATGAGCCCGCAGGTCCCCACCCTCCTTTATCTGACACAGACACCCTCTGCTGAGTGTTTTCCCTCGGGACGGATCACCTCATGTTCTCTCAGACCCCAGGCCCCCTTACAATTACTTATTTTGAACAAAGAGCCATTAGGGAAAACACATTAGTCTGAAACAACCTCAATCAATAAAACTGCAGCAGTCGGCCAAAAGGAGAGACAAAAACACCCAGAAAAGCAATGAAATACAACACTCATGTCATCCTCCCCAGGGCACGCCTTTCAAATTTACAGCACTGGTCCTCATGGGAACCGGACCTGCGCCAGGGCCCCCAAGGTGCCCAGGGCCAGTGACTGACTAGAGGACAAGGCCCACACGGGGCTAAGGTGGATCCTGGCAAAGTCACACAGAAGGTGCAAGGACGGAGTCCGGAGAGCTCCAGGGTCCCCTCCCTGGGGCCACTCAGGATGCGAATAACCCCCAGCAAAGAGCTGTGACAATTCGGGGAGCCCAGTAGGGCCTCGGGGCCCAGGGTTTTCGGGAAGCCTCCCACAGCACCCTCTGCCCACTAGACACCATGACTCCAGATCTCAGAAGGAAAGCCAGGTCAGCACAGCCGCAGTCTCAGCAGCCCACGGGGCCCAGGGTGGGTGCCCTCTGGGCCTCCAGGCTCCAGGACCCTGCCTGGCTGTGAAAACTGCTGCTGCATCTGAAGACAGTATAAAATAGCAAGCTCAGAGACCGGGCAGCAGAGAACACATTTCCCAGGCTGGTTCTGCGGCCGCCGCGTTAGAAGCTGCTCTGTCATACGTGGACAGTTTCCAGTCACAGAACCATAAACAGACTGCGTTTACAGAAACAGAACCCAAGAAGCTGGCGCCGTGGGAGGAGCAGCAGGGCGAGCCCACAGCTGCCCAACACGGTCTGAGGAGACCATTCTGATGTGGGTCTCGGTTAGTGTCTGGGTGCTGCTGAGACACAAAGCCCAGCGCCCACAACTGAAAGCAGGAAGGCACACTTTGGCTCACTATTTGGGAAGTTTCCCTCCATATTCCTGTGGTGCAAACACAGAAAAGGCACGAGGGGAGGGGCCTGGAGGAGGAGAGCTGTCAAGGCAAACGGGCAGGCAGCAGAGCGCGCAGGGGGACCAGGAGGCAGAGGAACCCTTCCTAGCTTTTTGGGGGGCCACGCCCCAGCACCCACCTCTTCCCAACAGACCCCTTCCTCAGGCAGTTGCCAGGAGCCACAATCCTCACCTCCCAAAGGCCTGCCAACCACGGTGGGGCCGAAGGGAGACTGATATTCTCGAGGTAAACCACCCCGTTCCATTCCCGGCCCCCAAAGATGCACACATCTTTTACGCAAAGTGCATTCAGTCCACACCAGGGTCATCCGAGTCTTAAAAGCTCGGCACTGCTGAAAAGTCCACATCCAAAGTCTCTGCTGAGGGGCTGGGGATTTAGCTCAATGGCACAAGTGCCTGCCTGGCAAGCACAAGGTCCTGAGTTCAATTCCCAGTACCAAAACAAACAAAGTCTCTGCTGAATCTATGGGCAAACTTTGAGGCCCTGTGCAAATCGAAGAGGTGCGGGTGCACCTATAATCCCAGCTCTGGGAAGGCTGAGGCAGAAGGATTGCTATGAGCTTAAGGTCAATTTAGAATACAGAATGAGATCCTGTCTCAAAAATTCCAAAAATAAAAAATAAAAATCTAAGTTAAACACTGTCAACAGGGGCTGAGGATTATGCTCAGCAGCACAGCGCCTGCCTGGCAAGCGCAAGGTCGTGAGTTCGATTTCCGGTACCAGAAAAAAACCACTGTCAACATACAATGCTACAGGGTAAACACTCCCATCCAAAAGAGAGGAACAGGGCCAAAGCAGGACCAGAACCCGGTGGAACAGACCTGAAATCCGCAGCTCCGTGCCCAGCACCTGGGCAGGCTGTGCAGGCATCTCCTGCGGGTGTCCTCTCCCCAGGCAGTAAGAGAGGGACTGAGCCCACAGGGACCCGCTGGACTCGGCACCAAGGCCTCTGCAGTCCTCTTGCAGCCCAGCCTGGACAGCAGGGTGCCACTAAGCCACCCTCTCCAGCCAGGGCCGTAGCTCCTGCCGCCTCACACCGCCGCTCGCCAGCGCGTCCCAGGCAGCACCAGAGTACCCCACCAGTCCACTGAGCCACACCCCACAGACCAGAGCCTGTGGTCCCCACGTCACCCCTCCTGTCGTCTCAGGCAGCCCGACACCTGCCCCCAGCCCTAGGCCCACCTGCAGAGACCTCCTGAGAGCTCAGCCTCTCTTCCACCCGTCCCGCCCCACAGAGACCTGGGCCTGGCCTCCTGTGCACAGCAGGGCTCCCCAGGCATATTTCCCAATGACCAAGCCTGCTTCTGGGCCTTGTGACGGCCACCGGCCAGCTTCTGTGACACTCCGGCCTCCTCCCAGCTCCCCCACAACAGCCTTCCCTGCGAAGCCCACTCAGTCTGCAAGACCTCCAGCCCCCGGCACTGCGGGCTAAACACACCTCCACACCCAGCCCCCAACTCCCACACCAGATGGCCACATGGACCACATAAGGACAGAGCCGCTACCTGGGCCCCCGCCCGCCTTGTCCGGGCCCTTTCCTCGCAACAGCCCTTCTCCACTCCTCTCTGCATCCTTCCAGGCCCAGACGTGCTCCCGGTGCGCACCCTCAGGGCTGGCACTGACGCTGGAAGACCCTGCAGGCCTGCAGTGCCTCAAACATCGCCTGCTCCACCAAATTCACATTCTCACTTTACTCTGCCAGGGGACAGGGTAAGGTGGGCGCATAAGAGGTGGGCGGGGAGGAGACGGGGAGTGATGCTCTCCCAGTTTCAAAAGAGCAGGTGGTCAGATGTCGCTGAGTCTCCTCTCTGACATGCTGACACGCTGACACGTGCTCCTGTCATGGGTGCCATCACACTGCGCGACACAGCCGGAGGCCAGCCAGCTGGGGCCGTGCAAACGTGGCCCTCCAGCCCCCGGCACTGCGGGTTACACACACCTCTGCACTACAGAGGACGCGGCTCAGGAAGGAGCCAAGACAGAGCTCCGCAGTGTGCGCCTGTGCAGGGCTGGCTTGGTGTCACAGACCGATCACCCACAAGTGCCCCCCAGAGGCCACATGAGGGCCTGGTCCCCAGCCATCGTGCCGTCAAAAGTGATGGCATCTTTAGGAGTGAGGTCCCTGGGGTGCAAAGCCGCCTCACCATGGCCCGAGGACAGCAGCGCCAACAACCACAGACTGAAACCTCCAAACCCAGGATGGAGAGAAACCCGCTTCCCGTGAGCGGATGGTCTCAGACATTTTGCCACAGTGACAGAGCAGACGCGTCGTACTTTCTCAGCATGCTGAAAGAAGTACGTACTATGTGTGTAGTAAGGGAACAAAGTGCAGAGTCGAGGGGTCTTTACATGCTGCCCCTCATGATCATGAATAAAATGCCTAATTCCTAGTTGTGCAAAACTTGACAAGGTCGCCCTCTTCAGACCTGTGCCAAACCCTCAGGGTGCCCAGCGGAGTGGGGCTGTGCTTGTGAATGCTCCAGCTGTTCGCTGTTTCACTCATGCTGACCACGGCCTGAGGAGTGGGACATGGGCAGTGGCAGCCTCAATGGGCACTCCCGGATAGTGAAGGGACAGAGAGGGGGAACCCCAAACAAGAGATACTGAGAAAATCACTGTGCCAACCGCCTGAGGGCCAAGACGGGAGCCAGGGCCCCACCCTCACCTGCTCCTAACCCACCACCCTTCACCCAGCCCAGCCCAGCCCCCTCCTCCCGCAGGGACAGCCAGGAACCACGGGTCCCACCTGCCACATCCCTGCAGTGCTCCCTGCCCAAGGAGCAGCACGGTGCTGGGTTCCCTGTGCTGGCCGCCCGTGCGGCGCACATGTGCAGACTCCTGATTCGCTGCGCACCCAGCCCAGGGATCCCTCTACCCCGGGGAGGAAGGGGACACTCGTGAGCATCTGCAGAGGCTGGGCCCAAGGGACAGCTTGTCCGGGCGGCAGGAAGCCCTGACTGCACCACAGGAACCTGCAGCCCCACAGAACTCCCCACGTCTGTCCCCTCTAAACACATCACTGCCATCTGCCGCTGCCCCAGTGGCCCTCACGCCCCCCACGCTTCACTTGGTGTAGGTAAGGCCACCTTAGATGCTGCCAGGTCACTCTGAAGGGGTTGCTGCCTCGTGCCCCCCGGGCCCAGCTCCGTACTCACGGGGACACCAACCAGATTCCCAGCAGACCACAAGGTTTCTAGGAAGGCCTCTCAGCAGAAACAACCAGCAGGAACTTCAGGGTCAGAGGCAGCGCAAGATAAAGTGGGCGCCAGAACCAAAACAACTCCTGGCAGAGAGCACAGTTCCACTGTGAGCCCAGCTGTCTCGCAGAGGGGCGCATGGGGGCGGGGCAGGAGACTGAGTGCTGTGGGGACACCGTCTAACCTCGAGGTCCCATAGTGACGACCCACACGCACCAGGCTGGCTCCCAGAACCACCATCCAGCTCCCACTCTGCCACTCCGGGCAGGAAGGCTACTGGGGTCTCTCTTTGCTATGGCTGCACCCCAGGTGTGGGACAGCAGCTGTCCGCTGCCCTCTCATCTCTGGGACAGGCCTGCATGCAGAGGGACTAGTGGAAGACAGAGACAGGCGGCCACCGAGATGCCCCATGATCCACCTCCAGGTCCCCCCCAGGGCCCAGTGACTCACATCTAACAACCAAGTCACAGGGGTGACATGCTGCTCCCAATTAGGTTACAAAACACTGTGGCTTCCGTCATGCTCACATCTACCTCCCTCACTCTGGGAAGCTGCCAGGTTTCGAGCTGCCCTAACAACGTGCCCAAGGAGACAAGGAACAGAGGGCCTGGCTAGCAGCCAGCGAGACAGTCTGTCAATTGCAGCTGACCTTGGACACGGATCTCCCAGGGCCGCCAAGCGCCACAAGAGTGAGCTTGGAAGCAGCCCCCCGCCCCCAGCAGTCCTGGCTGACACCTGGACCCCAGGCAGATGAGATCCTGGCCAGGGCCCCGGCAGGCCTCACAGTACTCCTGACCACTGACACCAAGGTAGGCAATGCGGGCTGCTTGAGCTAGGACGCCGGGTGCAGTCTGCTTTGCAGCACTGCAGGACAAGCCACACGATGAAACAGGTCACGGGGTCACATGATACAGACCGTTCCTGCCACCAACACACTAAACGCACTGCAGTCATCTCTGAGATGGGGCAGGTCGAGCATTTTCCAATGTGTTCCCCAAACCCCGTCCGAGGTGGAGTGGCCAGGAAGCGTGTCATGCTGCGCACACTGGAGAGGAACTGATGACAGCATGGGGGAGACAGCACAACTCCCGCCGCATGGCCATCTGATAGCCACCACCTCGCCGGCCAAGCACCAGGATCCGCAGCACAAAGGAGGAAAGCAAGGCTCAGGGAGCACAGCTGGCCGGGGCTCCCTGAAGACAGCTGCTAACCAAAGCCTCTCCTCGGTTCTCAGAGCAGATTTCACTCCAGGCGGCAGCCCCATCGCCCCAGGCTGTACTGGACTGAAGGCAGGGATGAGGCCAGCAGGACTCACAGCTGCTGGTGTGAAGCGCTGCTGAGGCCAATGCATGAAGTGTCCGGGGCCAGGCATGTGGGCGCACACCTGTAATCCCAGCACTCAGGAGGCTGAGGCAATCCTCTGCCATGAGTGTGAGGCCAGCCTGGACTACATAGTGAGACCCTATCTCAGAAAAGCCAAAGGAAAAAAAGCGTTCCACTTCAGCATTTGGAACCATGACAGGTCTACTGCCGTCCCCCACAGCCCAGCACCCAGCACTCACTGCGGCCCAGTGGAGGTCAGCAGCTCAGCACACCGTGTCCTTGGTCAACCTGACTTGCAACACACATGATGCCACCCACGTGGCACCAGCACCTGGCCTCACCTTCCTCCTGGCCCAAAGCCTTGCTCTGGTCAATCCTGCCCGCTCGGCCACTCCCAGCTCAGCCCCAACCACCTCTCCTGGCCCACACTGCCCTGCACGCTGATGCTTCTGTGGCAGTGTCAGGAACACTGGGCCTGCCCCCACCAAGGTTAGCCATCCCAGGGGGACGCAAATGGATGGACAGCCTGAGACGCACTCCCCAGGGGCCAGGCACCTGCGCCTGCCTGGGGCTGAAACCCCACCACGCCCCCAGAGGAGAGGTCACCTCAGGGCCACCCGCTATAGAGCTGTGAGGACATCAGAGCTCTGTGAGGCCAAAGGAGCAGACCAGGGACCAGTGAGGGAACGCAGCCACACGCTCCGCCGCCCTACAGCAGCACTGCCAGCCAGGCCCCCGGCCACACCAGGCAGCCCCACCTGGCCCCATGCGCAGGGCACAGCCTGCCTGCCACTCCTCCTGCTGGCTCTGTGCCCCTGAGCTGGGGCAGGGGGACAAACATGCTCAGGCTTGGCCTTCTAGACAGGAGTCTCCACGGCCGATGGCCACCTGGGACCCAGGCTCAGCACCTGGGACACTGAAGCACAAACCACCTCAAGTTTTCCATTCCTTCTGATTTGATTTGCCCTTTTTATCTCTACTTGAACTATTTCCATTGTGGTTTTAAACCTACACAAAGTAAAACTATAAATAGAGTCAGTGGATTAGCAGCAAAAACACCGGACAGTCTGACTTGAGATAAATGACAAACAGCGCTGGAGTCTACGCGAGCTGCAAGCCCTGCACAGCATGAAGGGGCAACCGCTCCTCTCCCGCTACCCCTGCCTGACCTACTGCCCTCCCCTCTTGGTGGCCGGCAAGGGACAGGAGGGGACAGGCGAAGCCCCGGTCAGCCTCACTCTCAACCCCAGCCTCCGCACCTCCGAATGCCTGGGGCACCCCAGCTCCAGGACCAAGGTCCTCCAGCAGCCTCCCACCGAGAGGCTCACCTCCACCCACAGGCTCTGGGGAAGAGATGGGGCTGCAGTGTCGCTGTGTCTAGCATCCGTGAGGCCCAGGGTCCCTTTGCTCTTCACGGTCTCCTTTCTGGGAGACAGTGGCAAGGCCCCTGCGAGCGTTGGCAGCACCTTGAGCCCCAGCACGGCGCCCAGAGCCCACAGAGCAGCAGAGGGGGTGGTCGACCCTGTGACGCAGCCTAGGGCGGGTGTCAAGGGATGACACTGGCCCCAAACACATCGGGGGCCCAGAGCCTGTGGCAGTGGCCATCCGTACTTGAAGAAGAGTCTCTGTACAGGGGGCTCAACTCCCAGGCAGGGCCCCAGGCACGGAGGGTGGAGGGGTCCAGGGACATGTGGCACTGTATCTGCCCTAAGGGCCTGCTGTGCTGCTGCTGTCTCCCACAGCCTGGCACTTAGGAGAAATGTGCCTAGTAGGGCCCAGGCACCTGGGGAGGTGCAGACACTGCCACCATGGAGCTCGACACTGCCACCAAATCTTCTCTGCAAGCTCAGTAATGACCTTTCTTGGGGATGAGATCTGGCCATGGTGTCCGGCTGGCCTTAGACACCTTAGATCTTCCTACCCCAGCTTCCCTTGTGTATAAGTGGAAACTGTGGTACAGAAAGGTGGTTTGCTCCAGGTCAAGCATGGCAGTGGGGGGAAGGGTGGGCAGAGGGTGGGGGAAGACGAGGAAGCAAAGCCAGTGGCAGTGTCTTCCCTCTTGGTCTCAGAGCGTGACTGGAGCTGGGTGCAGGGGTCACCCGCCTGTAGGAAGCCGAAGAGCAACCCACAGTGCCCTCCTTCAGGAGCGCATATGCAAGGAGGGTGGTGGACACCACAGTCTCCAGGAAGGCACCTACTGTGAGCTGCACTCGGGACCCAGAGCCAGGCTCTGTTGGGGGTGCTTCCTCAAGGCAGGGGAGGTGTCCCCAGTCACTTGCCTTTCTGGGTAAAACAAACCAAAAGAACCAAGTTGGACTACAGACCAAGCCTAAATGTCACCAAACAAGCCTTACGCAAACCCCGTGCATAACAACCTCAACCAGAATCACACACCAAAAGCCCATGACAACCACGGGCAGACGCCAGCCCTCGAGGCAGCAGTAGACTACAGACGCTACAGTGGTTCAGACATTCTGCCGGACACAACCTCTTCCAGCACCGCCACGTCAGAGCAAGTCCTGTCTTAAGCCATATGGAACTGCACCCAAAGGTCCTGGGGAGCTCTGAGACCAGGCAGGAGGGAGGAGCCCCAGGGAAGGAGCTCCTCCTGGAGGGAGGAGCCCCAGGGAAGGAGTGCATGGGCACAGGTAGCCGGAAGACTCTCTGAGAGGAAGGGGAGATGTGAAACCCAGGTCCCTGGGCTGTCCTAGCACAGGGAGACGCCAGGGAGCACAAACAGGGACCACAGCATGGGTTTCAGTTTGAGCCTGGACAAATCAACTCCCAGAACCAAAATCAGCTCTTCGAAAAAAAACAGTCAGAAGTCACTACAAGGATCATCCACAATGTCAGGTCACAAACAAACACTGCCAGATATTCCCAGTCCCCCTGCTGCAGGGCCCACCAGGTGCCCGGCTCAGTGACAGAAAACAGATGCCGTCATGGGGCTGCAGGATGCTGGGAAGAGACAAACGCATGGGCTTGGGGACAGGGGACGGGGGGACCCACACAGAGAACCAAATGAGAATGGCGTCAGACTTCCCCACACCCTGAAGCAACACTCCCAAAATTCTAAGAGAATAAATAACTCTCCAGCTAGACTTTTATACCCAGCTAAACTAAAAGGTAACCGGAAAGTAAAATAAAGATACTTTCAAAATCAAGGAAAAAAATCTACATGATACTTCTTAGGTGTCTAAAGAGTAGAAACAGAACTTCAGAGAACTACAGATCAAAACTCCACTGAGCTGGGTGTGGTGGCCCACACCTGTAATCCCAGGACTCGAGGCACTCAAGAGGTTGCAGCAGGAGGATCATTGCAAGTTTGAGGCCAGCCTGGGCTACAAAGTTAGTCCAAAGCCAGTGAACTGCACAGTGAAACTCTGTTCAAAAAAAAAAAAAAAAAAACAAAAAAAAATCTCCACTGAGACTCCATCCCGCCCCCCTCAGAATGGCTACGGACAAAGACACAAAAACAATAAATGCTGGTGAGGATTGAGGTGGGGGGTTTCCACACAGCTTATGGGATTGTATAAATCAGTACAACTACTACTATGGAAATCAGTAAGAAGGTTCCCCCAAAATTAGAAGTAGAGCTACCATTTGATCCAGCTATAATACTGTAGGGACCTGCAAACCCACGTTTAGTGTGGCACAGTAAACCATAGCAGTAGTACAGAGCCAGCCCAGGTGCCCATCAGCAAATGAATGGATAAAGAAAATGTGGTACACATACACAATGGAGTATTATTCAGCCATAAAAAGGAATGAAAATTCTGTCACTTGCAAGAAAACGCATGGACCTAGAGAGCATCGTGTTGAGCAAGATGAGCCCGACTCAGACAGGCAGGTACCACATGGCATCTCTTTAATGTGCAGGGTCCAAGAAAGCTGACCAGAAAGCAGAAGGGCAACTATTACTGCATAAAAGGAAGGGAACAAAGGGTTGGGGTGTCAGGGCGGGTAGTAAGGGGATGAATACAAGCAAAACGTACTCATTGAAACTCCCAAAATGTGAAATTAGAGGAGGGGTGAGGCAAGGGGGCGAGGGGGCAAGGTGACCAGAGCACATCACGTGCGTGTACAAATCCACCGAATGGGGCCCACTCCTCTGTGGAGCCAACTCTGAAACACAAAAGGGAAAAATAAGCAGAGCTCAGCAGATGGAGGAGCGAGCCCCCCGGAGCTGGGAACCCCAGGCACGGGACCCCCACAGAGCAGGCGGCACAGGGCGACCCTGGGGACCAGAGCACAGAGGCCGGGGGAGGGGGCTTGGAGGCACGCTCACTGGTCCTGACAGGTCCATGACAGCACATGTGACCCACAGGCGGAGGGACAAAGAGCTGTACTCCACCACACAGCACGGACGGCGTCGTGACACTGTGCTACGCAGTGGTGACATAACCAGGAGCGGTGAGAGGATTAGGAGGGGACGTGGGGCAGGCAGATGGCGTCAAGCGCAGGGTCTAAGAGGGCAGATCCTGAGGACAAGCCACCTGGCACCAGAGACTCGGCCATCACCAGTGTCTCTGAGGATGAGCAAGCCACTGCCCAGGCACACGGAAGCCCAGCAAGCCCTATGTGGGCACCGTGTGTGGTGTGCATCTCTGAATGCCTGGTGGACGAGGAGAAAGCCCGCGGGGGGCGGGGGGCACAGTCAGGGTCCCATGGTTACAGGTTGGGACAGCAAGGCTGTGGGGAGGGGGAGGGTAAGGAGAACAGAGGACAACCCCTTCCCTTTCTTCCACTGAACCCCAGGCCTGACAGGACACAGGAGGGGCTCTGACCCAGGGCTCCGAGGACAAACTGGAAGCCAGACCTGCCGTGCACCAGAACCCGGGTCAACCTGGGTTTGCCGTGGAGACAGAGCCTCCAGTGCCAAAGAGCGCGTGGCACAGGCTCCACAGTGCTCCCACAGCGGCCACCACCACGCAGACACAGCGCATTTCCTCCTGGGCCCCCTGTCCCCAAGATAGCGCCCCCTCCCCAAGGGCGGTGCAGTGAAGCCCTGAGGTCCCCAGGGAGGACCCCAAGGTGGGGAGCCCTGGCTGGGCAGAAGAGCGCCTCTGAGTGTCCCCATCCAGATCTGGGAACATGGGGACCCACTTAGGACAACAAGGCCTTTGCAGATGGAGGACGTGGAGGTCCCAGATGGGAGAGGCCGCTGGGTCACCTGGGCAGAGGGACAGTGGAGACAGAAGGCTGGGCATACAGGAGGCAGGGGCGAGCCTGGAACAAGGCCAGCTGCCAGCAGGGACAGCGGAGGCCAGGGCGCTGGTGTCAGCCTCTGGCCTCCGAACTGGGAGAGAACACC